TCGTAGGCGTGTAGGTCGATCATATTGACAACAGCTGCTTGGTCTCCATAGACATACCATGTAAAAGGGTAAGGAAGGGGACGATAGAAGCGCAGTGATTGGGCTAAGACGTCAGGACGGAAGTGGCCGGAAACAATGGGGGAAACGGAATAGACACGTATTCTTCTGCCGCAAATCCAGAGGTAGAAGGAGACCGGAGTTGTTGATGCATCATTCATAATCATATCCATGCTGAAACAATGAAGGAGGAGGAGGAGTTGCAGAAAATGTTGGTGATGGATGAACTGAAAAAGGAGTATAAATAAGAGTCTTAGGATTTGGAAACGTTGGTGTTGATTGCGGGAAGTTTGTGAAGGTCGTTGGATTGATTGCAATCGTAATCGTAATTGTAAATGGTGATGAAAATTGATGGGACGAAATCAATTATGGATCTCCATCCAAATCTTCTTCTGGATTTGCATCCTGATTTTTATTTTAAAGATGCACAAATCAAGTTGAATTTTACGGCGAAGTTGTAGGAATTTGTTGAAATTTATAATTAGAATTTAATTTACAGGAATTTAATGAAATATCAAAAAAACAACGAATCTAAAAATTCTTCAATGAAAATTGGTATTTCAAGTAATTTAATATTATTTGTTTGTCGTAATATTTTAAAAACATTTGTTTTATAATAATCAAAAAACAATTTAATTATTTATTTTTATAAATTATCTATAAAAATATAATTCAATTTAATTTTAGATTTTACAAAATACAAATCTCCAAAAACTATTTTGTAAACCCAAAGAGCTTCTCACTTCTGAGGCAGGGTTATGGAAAAGATTTAGATTCTGAATTCCCCCCAAACCATCATCAAACCATCCAAATGCATTTATTGGATTACTAATTAATTAACACAAATCTTTCAAAATTCCAAATAGTTTCATGTTACATCATGAGACTTAAGGCCTAAGGTCGGCTTTTTAATACATATTAAAAGGGTAATTATGGATTACAGCGAGATACATCTTTATTTTAATGTTTCGTTTTAACTTTTGTCTTTGTTGATATAATGCAATTTTTGTGGTTCATGTTTTAAAAAAACCATGATTAAATACCTTAACTAAATGCATTAAATAATCATTACAAAAATAAATGAATTTTCATATATAATCTGTATACAACAATGCCCTTTTGGATGATTTAAAAAAATATTTATTTAAAACATTATTCAAATAAATGATTAACCCAGAATTGTGCTCTTAATACAAAAGAAGAAAAAAAAAAAGAAATTATATATGCTACACAAAGTATGAGCAAATGACCCAAGAGGTCCCTCAACTATACATATTTACATAGAGCTAACATCCCCCATCAAACTCAAGGTGGATCATGGAAACCAACTTGAGTTTGTGAACAAGGCTTAAGAAGCGACTCGGAAGAAGGGCCTTAGTGAAGACATCTGCTGTATGGTAGGAAGAAGAGACGGAAATAAGCTTTATAGTATCGTGAACAACATGTTAACGAGTGAAATAACAATCGGTCTCGATATGTTTGGTACGTTCGTGGAACAGTCGTTGTGTGTGATGTGAACGGCACTACAGCTGTATCATTTGACAATGGTAGGGGATGATTGACGTGCACCCATATTGCAACCACAACAATTCTTGAGTGGTGTTAGCTAGAGCACGATATTCGGCTTCAGTGCTAGAACGAGAAGTAAGAGATTGTTTCTTGTTGTGTCAAAAGATGAGAGAATCACCAAGAAAAAAACAGTAACCCATGGTTGATGGACGATCATAACATCACCATCCCGACCAACATCTGAAAAGGCATGTAGCTCAGGGGACGATGAAGAAGAGAAGTACAAACCATGTTCGAGATCCGACATGTTCGTCGGCCATATCACCTTCACCCATCATGTTCATCTCCAACATCTTCCCTTGTACGAGAGCCCTCCCCCTTTCACCACTATAGCAGGTCCAGATCCAATTTTTCACCAGGTAATATACAGAACCTCATCTGCAAATCCCTCAACTCATCCACATCTCTGTATAAATCGTTAATCTCCTAAATCAAATTTGGGTTTGTTTCAAATTCTCTTTGTTCTCATCAAATTTGTTTTAGATTTTGAAGGGGTTGTTTCATATTTGTAAGGTTTGTATTTGGTTTCTATTTGAGACATGTATGCTCGTACTCTCGGCTGGAAAAGACGATGGTAAATTTCATTTCTATGTGTATATTATACGTGTGAAGGACGGGACACTTGTCATTATTTCCTTGGATGGATGTTCAAAGTTATTTTAATCATTATCAGAAAATAACATGAAAACCTTAAAAGATGAAAATGTTGCTTACTTAATGGCCAAAAGCTAATGACTGTTAGAGTAAGGGACCAAATCCGATCGTTTTTACAAACCACAATGGCCATCTTATAATTTCAATATTATAGGGACCAAAAATGTTATAACCGACAAACCAAAAGGACCAAATTTATATTTTACTCTTAAATCTATTAAAAGTTGTACCCATTCCTTTGTCTTTCTGTTTTGTTTTTAGTCATATTAAGAAATAAATAATTTGTAACTTTAGTTCAAATATTCATCTTTAAATAAAAAAATTCAATTAATGTGAATTTAAATCTTCTATTAATTAGGGGCCGTTTACACTATCAATTACCTGGTAAATGTTCACTATATAATATTCAATGCTATCACTTATTTTACCGGGTAATCTTTTAATCCATTACAACAATTGCAATAATTAGTCCAATAGGGTAACAGTCATCATCCTCACTAAGTAAGACTCTTGGTTCTTGATCATATTTATCGGATAAGATTCCTGGTCATTGTCATGTTTATCCGATAAGGTAACTAGACTTGGTAAATGTTTACCGGATAAGCGTTTGGTAAACGACTCCTTAGACACATTATTTGAACTGACCCCAATATTATTAATTTATTATTACTAAAAGGGTACTCGTGCAATGCATCGAGACACGTCTCGATTTTACTGTTTTGTTTTATTCTTTATCCATTTTGATGTAATACAATTTTATATGGTTTTAAGAAAGCGAAAATGTTTTTATTTTTGAATAAAATATAAACTTGAAAATATCAAAAAAATTAAAATATATATATATCGGTATTAGTATCATATTAACTATTTAAAAATTCTTATTTTGTCTTTTTTTTAAATTCAAATTTTTAATTTTATTTAACGTAACGAAGTAACTTAATTTAGGTTTAATAATACAATTTTTATAAAGATAATAATCATGTATTTTGTTATAACTCAATAATATCCTAATTATATTTTAGAAATTTTATATTTAAAATAAGATGTTTATCTTATATTTGATTATGTTTATCTGCAGTTAGTTACACAAATTCAAACATGGAGCTTTAATAAGTTGTATTTACGCACAATTTACTTGTAATCTTGAATTTTAAGTAATATGCATCAATAAGCAGTACTCCGTGCATAAAAAATGATTTTTAAGAGTTTTCGTGCATAAAGTTTATACTAAATAAACGATCATTATTTTCACTTTAATTTGATACCAATACTATTACATTCTTCTGATATTTTTTTAGTTATTACCATTTTTACATGGAATATCACAATGATTTAACTTCTTTATTGTTTCACAACATGAAACACCACTACATTTTTACATTAGTGGAGTCGTTTCAACGATTAACGACACATCAATGTTAATGTATGTGTTGTTTCACCATATGAAACATTAATGCATTGTTTCACATTAGAAACACATGTATGTTAAACAACGCTTCATAGAGTAAAACAACGCATATGTTTACGACGTCAATTTTAACCCATCGACGTTGTGTCGTTTAACTGTGTCAAACTCTTGCGTACCGATATGTTCATACAATGTTTCACAGTGTGAAACAACACTTCATAAAGTAAAACAACACCACCACTACTTCAGTTTTAACTTCTATTTTAAGGTGTAAACAGCAATATTCCTTTTGACATTTATGGATTCAACGTGTTCTTGGGGATACCAACATGATGTGTTTATTAGCAAATATATTGGTGCTGCAAAAGCAACCATCAACCTATAATAAACATGAGCAAAAAACGACAAAAACCCTACACACAATTGTAATGAACGAAAAGGGATCGATATGCACAACCAGAAACAAAAGGGCGGATTTGAAGTTTGATCATCTGGGACCAGACAATTGCTCGTTGGAGACGTTGTAATTTGAATCTGCCATGATCCAATCCATGTTCTGATTGTGCGTGTGGTTGAAATCTTGCCGGAAAATCTCTTCTTTCTGCCACTCCTCCCACCTCTCCGCCAACCCGTCCCCTTCCAGCATTCGCACCACTTCCGACATCTTCGGTCGCTCCAATGCCGTGCTCTGTGTGCACAGAAGAGCTACTTGTATCAACTGTTCCACTTCATCGTCCGCATAATTACCCTCTAAATCGGCATCCACCAGTGTCTCCAGCTTCTTATCCCGCAACAGCCCTTTCACCTGAAGAATATTTTCAAACACAGGTATCGAATCAAGAAATCTTTTGATCGTTTCTTCAAGAATACGTGGAACCCATAAGAGCCCTTCACAGGGGGATTTCCAACATGTATTAAGGAGAAATGGTTCAAGTCTAGTTGATGCGGGTACGGCCCTAGACGAGCACACAGATTGTCCCAGCATGTCGAGCGACTAAAGTGGTAGACATTGCATCTAATACCATGTGAGAATATGTGGAACCCCATTACATTTATAGAATCAAGAAATCTTGACCATATTTGTGAGAATATGTGGAACCCCGTTAGATTACACTCCAAAAGAGCTCTTGGGGAGAGAAGGGGGTTCCAATATATATTAAGGAGAAATGGTTCAAGTCTAGCCGACATAAGGCTCTAACACCCCCTACAACAGGGGCTACACAACATAGATTGTCCCGGTGTGTTGAGTCCCTATGATGGTAGACCTTAACTATGATACCATGTTAGAATATGTGGAACCCCTATTCATATTAAGGATAAATGGTTAAAGTCTAGTTGACGTGAGACTTCAACAATTTTCTGAAGGACATCAATGAAGGAAGCTTACCCAATCAAGCAACATGACTTCGTCATCGTTGGCAAGGCGAGCAAGATCAAAAGCCCTCTGCCCGGTAATGAGTTCCAAAAGCATCACACCGTACCCGAAAACGTCGGTCTTTTCTGACGATTTCCCGGTGGAAAGATACTCTGGCGCTATGTGTCCGATCGTACCACGAACGGCGGTTGTAACGTGAGTATCCTTATAGTCCATGAGCTTAGCCAACCCAAAATCTCCTACCACTGCTTCAAACTCCTCGTCCAACAATATATTTGCAGCTTTGACATCACGATGAATGATCTTAGGATCACAATGGTCGTGCAAATAAGCAAGGCCCCTTGCGGACCCCAGTGCGATCCGTTTCCTTATTGGCCAATCAAGTGCAGCTTGTGTAGCCGGTCGATCTACAGTAATTTACCAATTTACGTGTCAGATATATGGGCAAAATGCATCAACATGTAACAAAGTTTTGCGTTAGTTGCTATTTAGTAAAACAAACCAAACAGCCTCAGTAACTTTCACTGTTTGTCTGGGGTGAAATGTATAACACCTTCCCTCTGCGCCTAGGGGTAGAGTGACTGTTTTCGTTAAGACGCCTATCTTAATTCCTATTTAGTGTAACTAAGTTTTTTTATCTCAATTAGTGTAAACGTTCAATTCTTCCTATTTTATACCCATTTTACCAGTTAAACGGGATTTTAACCTACGCGGTATTGGTTGATTTTGATGTGGCATTTGTCCACGTAATCAAGAGTTATTGTATATAACTTGACAACTTGGCTTCCATGTCATCAATAGTTACAAGATCTACCATTTACCGGTGAAATGGGTAAGAGTAAGAAATATGAAGAGTTGAACGTTTGTTAAGCTACCAAAGGGTCGTTGGCCTAGCAGCACCCAGGTTACCAGTAGAGCCTACTGCCTAGCCTCCCAAGAGGTCAAGGGTTCAAACCTCACGGAAGGTGAGAAGTGTGCAGGAGTATTTACCGTTTCTAAATATTATATACTTCAAAAAAGCGTTTGTTATGCTAAATATAAAAACTCAATTTTACACTAAATAGATACGGCAAACTTCGCATTTTTAATGCATTTTGGCCGGAATATTATTGGCCAAAAAATCAAAGTGATCTTTTTTAATTTAAGGGGAGGAGGACTCGATGGTAGCAAAAATACCTCGTAAACATGATGCAACACTGCCATTAGCCATGTAGGGATAAACGAGCAGTCGTTCGGTTGGTGTCATGCAAAATCCTCGCAGCCGAAGTAGATTCCGATGCACTGCCATGCTGATCATTTCGACCTCCGTTTGAAATTGCAATTCCCCACCTTGAGTACGCTCCTCTTTCAGCCGTTTTACGGCCACCAAACCGCCATCGGCTAACCGCCCTTTGTAAACTTTACCAAATCCACCTCGGCCAAGAATGTTTCTGTTACTAAAATGATCGGTTGCAACTTGTAGTTCACGCAGAGAAAACCTCTTCAGTTGTCCCAGATGAACTTCGGGGTCCTCTTCGGCTGCAATTTGAAAAAAATCAAATTAGCGGGAAAAACCACGTTAGAAACCAAAACGATACGATTGTTTTGTAAATTTACTAACCCGGTACATCAAAGAAATGATCTTGAGGTTTCTTGCGGCGCCACCAAGCAAGTGCGATTGCCGGACCTGCGAAAAGTAGAGCAGCACCAGCGGCAACTCCTCCGGCAATAGCTCCAGTGGCACTGTTGGCGACTGATATCACGGTTGCATATACAATCAGAAAGCAATACTTCCTTTACACAACATATATAGCGATGATAGAAGAAACAGAGAACGAGAGGCCGAGGATGGGAAGGAGAGAGGATTAGAGAGTGGACAGATAGGTCGTCAGAGTCCTACGATAGATAAATGGGAATAGTTTTCCTCACCTATTCTATGTTTCAATATACCTACTTTTTTTCTTATGTTGCTTACCTTTTAAAAGTTTTGCAAAAATCATCGTGTCTTTCAAGCAGGGTTCTTTGCTTTTTTGTCAAAACCTTTTCGCTTGCTCTTTTCTGCAAGCCAAGGTCATCATGGGAACAACCGTGCTACTCTTTGGGGGTAGAGGGCATGTCTACTTACGTCCATAAACATAGTTTCTCCCCCCTCCCCAGCCCGACCATAGAACACCCCACCCGACACCATTTTTCTCTATTGTTGGAGATCAGAACTTAAGGTTAGCGAGTCAAGTCCAATATATAGACAGTTGAATCAACCGCTTATGGCTCACAATCAGACTCGATTGAGGTTAAACCAACCATTGCGTAAAGAAAATAGCTACCCAACTAATCTTGACATCTAAAAATGGGAAAGAGGCTACTTATTCTCGGATAGAGGGAGTGATTAAAGGTTTATCCTTCGGTTTTGCTTCTAAACATCATGAATCTTGAGCCCTTGTTCAGTTGGTCAAGATAAGTCAACCGCAACTCCAGTTTTCAGAACTATGATGGTTTAAGTTTAAACCAAACCATACCAAACAAACTCGGTATATCGCACTTGGAGGTACAGTCTAGGAGGGGTAAAATGTATGCAGACCTTACCCCTATTTCAAGAGACAGAAAGATTGTTTCCAAAAAGACCTCCAGCTTGCCACAATAGAATGGCCGAAACTTATGTGAAACTAAAGTGTAAAATAACAACGAGAATTTGAAAATACCTGAAGTAGATTGGGAATTAGGTGGAGCAGGAGTTGGTGGAACATTTTGCGGAGCCGTCAAGTTAGGATTATTGGCGAAACTGAAAGAACAGAAGTTTGCAGTTAACGGCATAAAGGCATCACATAATCTCTCAAACCATATAACAAACAGCAGACCTGATGGGTGTGAAAAGTGAAAATGACCCATTTACAGGGACCGTTCCACTCAGATTGTTGGTTGATAGATCACTGCCATGGAAAACAATCTAACAATTTTAAACCAAAATGTATGAAAATAAGTAAAAACCGGGCTAACTTCTATACTTACAGAACTTGTAGGGATTCTATGGTAGTTAACGAATTTGGAATGGTTCCCCTTAAAGTGTTGTTGTTGAGACGACTATCCTTGCACAAACAGCAGAAAGACGACATTGTGATTCCCAAGACAATCATAACTGATACTCCCTCTGTCCCAAAAATAAGTGTCCATGTCTCTATTTTAGTTTGTCCCAAAATAAGGGGCCGTTTACCAAAACGGTAAACGCTTACCGGCAAGAAACATCACCCTCACTTACCTTACCGTGTAACATTCTCGGCCATCAAAATATGTGTCCAATTTCAAAAGTAAATGTCTAATTTCCAATTCTACCCTTAACTATGACAAGAACAAACGAGAAAATCACCGCACTACCCATTTTTGAATTTTTGAGTCAAAAATGGCCAGTTTGGTGATTGTCCTTGGACTAAATCATTGCTCCGTCTATTATTAAGGGTAAAATTGTCATTTGGTTTTATTCAAAAAGTGCTGATAATTACATATTTCTAAAACTATGTACCTTTTTCTCTGTGGACATTTATTTTGGGACGGAGAGAGTACTTTACTAGCGGATGATCATGACTAAGAATCTCGAATAGGCATTGAGAATGAAGATGATGTGGAATCTTACAGGAAACGGAGTTTCTTAAGGTTGCCCAATGAATCTGGAATGACACCTTCTAACTGGTTCAGATAAAGATCCAAACTCACTAAGCTTGATAAGTTTCCGAGCTCACTTGGAATTCTTCCAGTGATGTTATTACTGTAAAGCTCCCTGTCCATAACACGATATTAGTAATGGTGCAAAAACTTTGAAGTCAAAAGATAAATGATTTAGGGTTTAGGGTTTAAGATTGTATTTGTGGGTCATCCCTCCTACCATACATAAATTTACAATTCTCAAGATTGATGACACATGTTATAGCTATTGCATCAAAATGTTACAAGAAAGCCGAATCTTGACCATGTACTACCAACCTAAACAAGTGCATGATTAGAATGAATATGGTTTTAGACTTGTGCATTGACCGTTGGCCATTTTAGACCATCCTTGGCAACCATAAGCTAGCTTATTTTTTGAGCTTAGCCCCTGTTTGGTAAGCCACTTTTCTAAGACCTAAGCCGGATTGTTCATTAAGGCTTTTTTTCACTTTTTTCCAATTATCCCCCTTACATTTTCCTCTTTGGTCATTTTACATTGTCATCTAACTTATCAACTAGTTTTTAGCTAGCTTATCAGCTAACAGATATCTTATTAGCTAAGCATCTCCTTCCAAAAGAAATCAAAGGATTTCATGGGAATCCTACAAGATTCATTCGTGCTTTTTTCTCTAACAGATGGTCAAAACTTCATTTGGGTTTGAATCCTACGGATAGGTCCACTAGAGATCAAAAATAAACAACTAGTTTTCAGCTAACAGCTAGCTTATAAGCTATTTTGCTGAACATAGCCTTCTTCACGGCTTACTGACATACAAATAGCACAAAATATCATGATTTTTATTATAGTACGATAATGAAGTGCAAAGGAGAGATGCTCTAAGTATGGACATGAAGAAACACACATACTACTTAAACGGGCAAAGTTAAAGACTTACAAATACTGTAAATTCGTAAGTTGACCAAGCTGCGGAACCAGTTGACCCGACAAATCTGCGTTTCCAAGATCACTGTGTTCAACAAACCCCAAACACAAATTTCTTCATGAGATTTCCCAAATGCAAAAAGCAAGCAGAAATTGGTTGATAAGCTTACACTCGAGTGACACTATTCACACCATTGCATGTAACATGAAACCAAGTACACGGATTGACGAGGGTCGGATCCCAACTTTGCAAAACATTATTCGGATCAGTTAATTGTGTCTTTAGAGCATTCAATGCATCACCTGTCTTGCACATATGAATTGATTATGGGGTCATCTTTTAAACATCAAATCAATGAAGTTTTACTATAAATTTCATGAAATTTCTATTTATGTTCTTCAAATCCACTATCAGTAATTCGAATGATAGCTACTAAGATTGGGAAAACAATTCAAGGAAACCAATGGCAGTAATTTACCAAATTTAATCATGCAACAACACATCCAGAATCAATCAAACATTCAAGAATCATGAAGTTTTGCTATAAACATCATAAATTTTATGAAATTTCTATTTATGTTCTTCAGGTCCATCATCTATGATTAGAGAGAAAGCTACTAAGATTGGGAAAACAAAACCAATGTCAATAAGTTACTAAACTTGATTAACAACAATACATACAGTCAAAATCAAGAATCAAGAATCATGAAAAGAGCACACACCTTCAGCATTTCCATAAACCCTTGACAGATTATAGAACCCTAAAATAAACCAAAGAAGAGCAGAGGCTGAGATCATAGAGAGGGTCCGATCCATTTCCCACAATCGGGTCTTGATCGGGTCAACCTAAAACCCTAGATTCCTCATCAATCACTCAACCAGATCAAGAAATACAAAATACCCAGAAAACACCCAAAAGCTAGCTCCGATGACAGCTCAAACATACAAAACCAGTATCTAAAAAGATGCAGAGATGAAATCAAGAAATGAAAAACCCAAATCCCTAACTGAAAGGAAGTCTTGAAAATGGGGATTCTGAATTAGTTTCTTTGGGGGAGTTGGAGTTGTGGGTAGGGAATAGTCTTTGTGTAGTTAGTCAAAGGTTGTGTATATATTTTTCTACTAAAAAGACAAGTGATTGCAGAGAGAAAGAGGGAGAGTGTGGCGTAGGTAGTGGGTTGAGGCGCTTCAATCCACTCATTTTCTTTTCATCTTTTTAGTATTATTGTCATATAATTAGTCAACGGAACCTTTTATTCTCCTAAAATCTTCCTTTTCCACATCACCTGTAAATATATTATTACTACAATTTTTTTTTTCAATACCATATAAAATCGTATTTAATATCGATAGAACTAAAAATATAAGACGAAACATTAAAATCAAGATGTATCTTGTTGCATTGTCTGGATACCCTTCTAGTAGTTATTTAATAATTTTATATATTTACTGATTATCTATACTATATTATAAAACATTTGACAAAAACTCTTAAAAATCATTTTTATGCATGAAGTACTGTATATTGATGCATATTACTTAAAATTCAAAATTACAAGTAAATTATGCATAAGTACAACTTATTAAAGCTCTATGTTTGAATTCGTGTAACTAACTGCGGATAAACATAATCAAATGAAGAATAAACATCTCATTTTAAATATATAATTAGGATAATTATCGAGTTCTAACAAAATAACTAATTATTATATTTATAAGAAAATTATATTATTAAACCAAATATAAATTACTTCGTTATACAATCTAAATTAAATTATAATTAAAAAATTGAATTAAAAAATTACACAAAAAATGAGGAATTTTAAATAGTTAATTTGATACTAATATTGATATATTTTTGTCAAATTTTTATGATATCTTTAAATTTATATTTTATTAAAAAATAAAAACATCATCGCTTTTTCAAAATCACATAAGAACATATTATAACATCGACTGAGATTAATAATAGAATAAAATATTAAAATCAAGATGTAACTCGCTGCATTACACGAGTACTCTTCTACTATTTGTTAAAAGTGGTAATAATTACATGTTCAAACCCTTTGTTTTTAATCAAAAAAGAATGATAGTGGCTGTTTAGCAGTTGTTGAATGGTTTTGTGCAGAACCATTAAGTGGTCAGAATGATTAAGAGGCTCTCATAATATAGTGTAAAATGAAATATAATTGTTTGATAATTGTTTATAATGAAATTAGGGCTCTAAATGGTTAAGGGAGACCTAGAATACAAAATCATTCAGACTTTAGAGGGTTTTAGAATCATTAAGAGGCATAATTTTTTTTTTGTCAAACAAAATTCATCTCTTAACGATTTAAAGATTACCTCTTAATGAAACTATTAAGAGATAAACAAACAACCCAATATCAAAAAAAAAAAAAAAGTTTCACGTGAAATAAAGCGACGGTTGGATAAAAACGTTGACGGAACGGGGTCAACGCACGCATATGACCAATTTAATATCTACTCGTTGCGTGTCCAGTAGCTATATGGACCAGGTTTGTAAGTACAAACTTTTTAACTAGTAATAGTATAAAGCGTAAATTACAGATTTAGTCCCTTGGTTATATGAGAATTATAGATCAGGTCTACAAAATTAAATAATTACATATATGATCCTCAAAGTTTCACTTTTATTATCTATATTATATTATAAAGCATTTGACAAAAAACTTTTAAAAACCATTTTTTATGCATAAAATACTGTTTATTAATGCATATTACTTAAAACTCAAGATTGCAAGTAGATTGTGTATAAGTACAATTTATTAAAGCTCTATATCTGAATTCGTGTAACTAACTGCAGATAAATATAATCAAATACATAATAAACATCTTATTTTAAAAATAAAAAAAATTCAAAATATAATTAGGATAGTCATTGAATTTAACAGAATACTTAATTATTATATTTATAAAATTTATAGTATTAAATCAAAAATAAATTATTTCATTATTAAAGWTAAATTAAATTATAATTAAAAAATTAATTAAAGAAATTACATAAAAAATAGGACTTTTAAATAGTTTATTTAATACTAATTTCGCTTATTTTAAAAAAAATTTATAATATTTCATTCAAAAAAAAAACATTTTATTTTTTTCTCAAAACCACATAAAATCGCATTATAACATCGATAGAGCCAAAATATAAAACGAAACATTAAAATCAAGATGTATCTCGCTGCATTGCGCGAGTACCATTCTAGTAAATTAAAAGGGTACTCGTGCAATACATCTTCATTTTAATGTTTCATTTTATTTTTTATCTTTGTTGATATATAATATGGTTTTATGTGATTTTTGATAAAGATAATGTTTTTACTTTTGAATAAAAATAAATTTGAACATGTTCTCGTTTTTTTTTTTACAATTTCTTTAATTCAATTTTTCATTATAATTTAATTTAGGTCTAATAGCGAATTAACTTATTTTTGGGTTAACAATATATTTTTTATAAAGATAATGGTTCTGGTAAAACTCAATGATTATCTTAATTATATTGTAATTTTTTTATATTTAAAATGAAATGTTTATTATGTATTTGATTATGTTTATCTATGGTTAGTTATACGAATTCAAAAATAGATCTTTAATAAGTTGTACTTACGCACAATTTACTTGTAATCTCAAATTTTAAGTTTTATGTATTAATAAACAATATTTCATGCATAAAGAATAATTTTTAAGAGTTTTTATCAAAAGTTATAGATTAGCTTCTTTGATCTAACTTCACTAATCAGTTCCCCATTAAATCAAGCAGTGGCAGGTCCATGAAATTAATGGAGTGGGGGCACATTGGATGAAACTTGGGGGAGGGAAGCATATGGCCATATGGGACTAAGGGGAAACAATATAAGACGAGCATGAAAATAGAAAATTTAAGTTAGTCAACAAATGTTTTTTGTTTTTGACTATGAGCCTTTCCCCCAATGCTTAAAGGCAGGATCCGCCCTTGAAATCAAGGAAAATATGGTTCTTTCACCGTTCTCTATTAAAAACATAAAAACTATATATAGAGAGAAAGTTTCATTTACAGATCATTTAATTCTAATAAACCATATAAACCATTCTTAATCATCTATCATAAATATCTGATTTCATTTTGTTTCTTAATCTGATCGACCCCATTAAATCAGGGATAATATAGTCTTTTTACCATTTTCCTTTAAAAAACACAAATATTGTATACATTTGCACACAATATCATCTCCCCAAAAAAATACGTAATCCAAGTGCCTTTCCTTTCCTTTCAGATTTATATTGGGACTCAAAACTGAATAAACATGTCGGAGAATGGAGATGATTTGCAAGTGTGAAAAGGTTGGTTTGCCGGCAAACTTTCTTACTTCCGTCGAGGATAAATTATAGGAGTTGGTTGAATGAAATATTTATAAAAATAATAAGAGTTTATTTATTATGGTCTGTATATTTCTATAAGACTAGTTGTGTACCCACGCAATGTGACGGAAGCCATGAATTGTAACGATTTTGAAGTTTTATTGGTTTTATTAGAGAARATTTAACGATGATATAAGTTACACTTGGTCTTTACATATTAATACAATTTGAATAAGTAAGAGTTATGGTTTTAATTACAGTCTGGCGATGAAAAAATTGTATGATAGTTTAAAATATAATATATTTAAAATCCAACATATTTAAATGACTCCACAAATGTGTTCGATTTACACCAAGAGCAAAGAATCAAGAGATGGAGAGCGAGACCGAGAGTTCTAGAGCAATTGAATGAGAGATGAATGAGAGAACTTTTAATAACGCATGGTGTATATCAGTTTGAATCTCACCTTGGGGGATGGGGAGAAGACATAAATGTATGAGAGGGTGAAGGCATGAGTGAAATGTGTTAAAAGTATCTTGGAAACATGAAAAGAAAATATAATAATGTGCACTGGTAACTTGTACTATATGTTATTTTAATTGTAGATTAAAATATTTTAAGATTGAATGCATAAAGTAGTTGTTAATACAGGGAGCATTTTTGAAGAACTTTATAATTGTTAAAATCCGTGAGATCTAATTTAAACCACAAAAAATTAACTTAAAAATAAAATCCCATATAAATTGAGAATCTCTCCCTCTCTCTCCATAACAGATATACACGTACACATGTATAACTGAAAATGGACAAATTGATCATTATTGTGAATATTTTCTTAAAAATACTATTATAGTTTGTGAACACATTCTACTTGTATGATATATGGTAGAACTTCTGAATATAATGTGAATACCAATCAACAAAACTAAATCTTAACATATCACTTGTGAACATCATGTGAACTTTGTGAACATTCTACTAAGAGATTTCTTAATGTTGTTTATATCGTGCTCACAATATATGCACATTTAATTGTGCAAGTGTGTTGGTTAATGCGGAGAGAGGAGAGATAAAGAGATATGTATGAAATTTCATTAAAAAAATGCATCATTTTTTATTTATTAATTAACGAAATTATTTCCTTAGTTATATCATCAATTAATAATATTAATTATATTAGTGGCTTAAGATGAATCTCATCGATTTCATAAATTTTGGAGTTCTCAAATAATTAAGCTTATATATATATATATATATATATATATATATATATATATATATACACGATTAAGTTCAAATAAAAACCAATTTCCCACTGTAAACCAAAGGGCAAGTCATGACCATTAATTAAAAAAAAAAAAAAAAACTAATCAATGGTTAATTTAGAAGGGATTAGGGGCAAAAATGGAATTGATTTCAAACTTGAATGACATGTCTACCTTATTTGACTTTT